CCAGACAGGCCCACTTGCCATCGCCTGGGGTCCGAGGGCCACTCCCTCCCCACACGGTGCCTCAGTCCCCTTTGGGATGTCAGCCCCAGGTGGCAGGGACAGTCTGTCTTGTTAGAGACACAGGGGACGTGCTCTGTGTGTGTTTGGAGAAGGAGCGGGGGCACTCGTCCTTACATACCGACTGACCGTCCCCCACCCTGGGCCAGATGGCGACTCCAGAGTAGCTGTAGTCGTTTTCCAATTAATGAAGAGTTCCCACCGTAATACAGTGTTATAATAACACTAATAAATGTTACTATAACTAATAGTAACACTTATTAGTGTTATAATAACCGCATATGATACCGGGGGCACTGGACGTATGGAGGGACCACTTCATATGTCACGTAGGTGTCTAACCACTGCGCCATACACCTGAAACTAATATAAAAGTGAATGTCAACTGTAATTGAAAAAAATAAGCCTTTCAAGTTGTTAAAAAAGTATTTTTAAAGTAATGGTGGGGGGGTAGAATTTCCCACCCTGACTAATGAATTTGAGAAACAGACCTGGGGGGAGCATGCTGTCCCCGAGGCCCCGGGGCAGCTCTGAGCCGCGGTGAGGACGCCTTCCCTCCGAGCTGCCTTCTGCGGTGGCGGGACAGGGGGCTGTCCCTCCTGCCCAGGCCGACTCTCAGGGACGCGGGCAATGCGATCACTTGGCTCAGAATGTCCTTGCTTTAAGTAATAGCTTTTTGGCCCAATGAACTATTCTGTTTGTTTTTTTTTTTTTTCTTTTCTGGAACAAAGGGCATTAAGGGCATTAAGGGGGAGCTAGTCGTGCTTATATAATTTGTACTTTCTGTTTATCTGATACTTGTTATCAGGCCGGGCTGGGGCGGGTGCCATGTGGGGAGGCTGTGCCGTTCCCAGCCCAGAGCCAAGGGCACCCCCAGCGACCTCCATTAACCTCCGAGACTCAGCCAGTCCTTCGGGAGTGGCCATGACCGACCGGTGTTTGTACACGGCAGGAGCAGCAGTCACTGCATTCCTGGAATCTTGGCGAGTGCCTCTTAGAACGTGTGCTCAGCAGACATCAGTGCAGGCCTACTGTGTGCGAGGACACACGTGGAGGACTGCAAACGTCTTCCTCACGCACACGTGGGGGGCGGCAATGATTTGTACATCCCTACACTGATCATTGCCTTGCTGCCTGGGGCCAAGCTTGCTGCTTCTGCCCCTCAGGCGGGCAGACAGGGTTCCAGGCAGGAGCACCTAGTCCCTGTCCCTCGGGCAACTGCCATTAAGGTCCCCCAGGGACACCAGCAGGTGCAGAAAGAGTCTCCGATGGGGGCGTTCACTTCTGTGTAGCATGTGTTCAGAGTTAATGGGACTCATTCAGCATTTCAGCTGAGTATCGGGGGTCAGTTTTGTCAGAACGAAACAGCCACTCACCTACTGGGTGGGGGGTGGTCTGAAGTGGCCCGAAGAAGTGCCAGACTGTCCCTGTCTGCGAAAGGGCAGCACCGACTCACTGGTTTGTCACTTTGCATTTCCCAAAGTTCTCTCACATCCTTATCACCCAGCCCCTTCCTGCCTTGGCAGTGATGACCTCGCCCGGCAGAGGAGGATGGGGCTCCTGGACAGGTGACCGAGTGGAGCTTGTTCCCCACCCCTGCCACCCTGTCTTCCCAGGAACTTCCCCTCCCCTGAGAGAAGTGCCCCGTTAATTATTAAGCACACGTTTATGGGTTTGGCATTGATAACTGCATCTCAGAACACGCAGTGCCATGCGGCGCTGCAGACTGGCTTGTCCAGAGCGTGTCCAAGCCCCGGTGGCGGTTCGGGTGGTTCGGGTCCCCCTTTTGCAGGAACTGGCCTGGCAGTTCTCTTGTTGCCTTCAGAAGCCTCAGTTTCCCCAACTTCAGCACAGTGGATGCTAAAACCAGATTCAAGTATGCATGAAAAAAGTTCTCTCTCTTTTTTTAAATCCTCACGTGAGGGCATTTTTTCTCATTACTTTTAGAGGGAGAGAGGAGAGGAAGGGAGACAGAGAAACATGGGTGTGAGAAGGGAGTGTTGATTGGTAGCCTCCTGTAGCTGCCTAGACTGGGGGCCAGCGTCCGGACTGGGGTGATACGCATCTGGACCGGGGCTCTGCACACCCGGACCAGGGGTCGGGCCCGCTGTCCAGGTGTGTGCCCTGACTGGGAGCGGGACCCGAAGCCTTTGGGTTACAGGGTGGCGCTCTGACCAACCGAGCCACACTGGCCGGGGCACAAGCATTCTGAGTAATATTCCCTGGCAGGCCCAGGGCCCGAGGGGGTGTTTGAACAGCGAATAAGACAGCCCTGAGAATCAAGGCCCTGCACGGAGGGAACGGCCTCCCAGCCAAGCAGGGCCTGGCCTGGGCCCGGGAATGGTGTGGCGCAGGGTCCTGCTGGAGCTGGGCAGCACGGGGCCGGGGGTCTGGGCCGAGTCCCCACCTGGCAACCACGAGCTGTGGGGCCCTTGATTTGAATCATTGTGCTCGGTTGCCGCCCTACAAAATGGGGACAATGATACATTATTTACAGGACTTTGGAGGAACAAAACTAATGTATCGAAAGCGCGCCTCAACCACATGTTGGGGATAAGAGGTGCACGGGGGCTGCTTTGGTGTCGGTCCGTTCCTGTCCTGGGCGCCCCAGTGGGGCGGCAGCACCGCATGTGGGTGAAGCAGGCGTGTTCTGGATTTGACAGAAACCCGGCCACCTTTGGCCACGAGGTGGCCTTCTGGGAGGGCAGGGTGTCGTTCAATCCTTAGGTGGTGGTACCTGTGTGGTACCAGTGGGTAGCTCCTTCAGTTCCTTCCATGGTGGCCTCGGTTCCCCTGGGATTGAGTACAGCTCCTGGGTGTGGCCCGGTCTGCAGCTGGTTCCCACGGTGGGGGGAGCGCCCTGTGCGTTCCAGTGTCCATTCACCAGAACAGAGTGTGTCTGGGCATCGGGGCCGCCCCTTGGGAAGCGCCTTTTCTCCTGGTGATGCCTGTCTGCAGCTCTCAGCCTGGGGCCGCGTGTCCCACTCCCACTTTAAGGCAGGGATGGGTGACATCTGGGGACCAGCTGTGAGGGAAGGTCGTGCCTTGTGTTGTCCGGGTAACAGGGCCATGGACAGTCCACCGTCTTCCCTGTCCTCCTTTCCACTGCCAGACTTGGCGTTCTCTGTGGAAAACAGGCTGTTCTTGGTTTTGCAGGTCACACGTACATTTAAAAAAAGAATCCCCAATTTGGTCTGTTAAGGCTCTTTAACTTTGGATATTGCCATTTTTCCTGCCTGCTGTAAACAGGCAGAGCAGGCACCCTGAGATTTCATCCGATCGTCATCAAGCCTTTTCGCTTTCACTTCGCCCAAGTCCACTTTTTGCGCAGTATTAAAAGGGCAAAGAGTAATTTTTCTGTTTGCTTTTGACAAATTTAACATTTGGCCTCTCCTGATTCCCACTGATCTAGGCCAATTGAGCTGTTTTTGTTTTATTTTTAAAAAACATGAGGTCTTGCCCCTGGTCTGTCTGTATCCGCAGCCCTGCCTCAGTTCTGGAGACAGATCTTTGGAAACGAGGCTCACCCGGTGCAGCCAAGGTTCCCGGGCCTCGCAGCCCCGAGGTTCCCGGGTGCACTTCCCAGGGTTTGCCTTTGGAAGCCCCAGCAGACGAGGCTGGAACTGTGGAGCAGATCTCAGGTGATAGGGCTACGTACAGGTTGATCTCAGTCGACAGAGTTTTGGGAAAACATCTTGGTGTGATGTCCCCTTAGCAAACAGGGAGCGTTGGTGTCCAATGCTGGTCTGCATCATCCGTTCCTTGGGCGACCATGGGCAAATTTAACTCCTCCAAGCATCGGTTTTCTCAGCTCTAAAGTATAGACCAAAGTAACGACAGTAACAGTAATTACCATCTGCACGTAATTACATTGTTATTACTATGTCCATGACTTACTGGGGCCATGTGTATGTACTGCCTCATTTGACCCTCACAGCGGTTCTGATTGCCTCATTGTCTCTTTAACAGATAAGCCAGGGAGGCACAGAGAGGTTAGGCGACTTGCCCGCTGTTACCCAGCCAGTGAGGAATGGGTTTGGGAGCGGAGCCAGGCTCTGGAGCCCGTATTCCTTACTACGGTTCCAGACTGTCTCCCAGGGCGTCGTGCGGATGAGGTGTGCCAGCCTCGGGAAGACAGCCTAGAACACAGCATGTCACACACTGTGCCGGCCCTCCCGTTGCTAAGCCGAGGTTTGGACTCCCGACTTCGTGGTTAGGAAAGTGCTGTCCCTGTGGCTGTGTGATCTGAGCCCAGGGTGGCGGAAAGGAGGGTGGGGTCCCACCCACGGTGGACCAGTTCCGCCCTCCCAGCAGCTGGGCTTCTGAACCTGCTCCTGCTTCCTCCCTCTCTCAGGGGTCCCTGCCGCTGTGCCCCCGCAGGGTCGAGGCCGGAGTCTGCACTCAGAAATGGTCTTTTCTCCTCCCAGCCGACCCGCACAGAGCACACATGGTGTCGAAAGAAACTGTTTGAATTTGGGGCGTCCGGGGCTGACCTGAGTCAGTTGGGGGGGGATACCACCCGACACAATCAGAATGTACTAGAACACCCAGGGAGACCGGAGAGGCGTGTGAAAAGCGCATTATTTCCGCTTGCATTTTACCCCAGACCCTTGACCCGCCGGATGGGTGGGACGTGGCGCCCCACGTGCAAGGGCTCTGCACACTCTCCTCACGGGTTCTGCGTCGAGGTCTCCAGGGGCCGAGCACCCTCTGGGCTCTTCGGCAGGATGTGGAGGAGGCGCGCTCGGTCACGTGGGATGTGTGCCCGTGTATGCGTGCAGCGCACACGGACACGTCCGTGCTGAGTCCCCAGGTAGCTGGCTCTGGCCTCCTCCCAGCTAAAGGACACGTTTTAGGCGGCTTCGTATGTGGGCAGTGGTGGAAATGGGAGTTGCTCTTTTACCTCGGGAATTCACAGTCACAATGACATGTTCTTCTTACAGGTCTGTCTACGGATTTTGAGCATCTACAGCCGATCTGAATTTAAGCGTTCCTGCTGCTCCCTTACCCTTCGGAGAGATGTCTGTCACTTACGATGACTCCGTTGGAGTAGAAGTGTCCAGCGACAGCTTCTGGGAGGTAGTGTCCTTGCTTCCTCCCGCATGACACAGAGATCAGGCCAATGCTGCCAGGGCTGTGTTTTGGGGGGTGGGGGTGGACGGGGGGTGAGGGGAACATGCCCCCACACCAGCAGGCGAGCAGGCTCGGGGCCGGATGGCGGCTCCAAGGGGGCTCCGAGGCGTCCGAGTGGCCTCATCAGCTGGAGTGTCCGCTGCTCTTCCTTCTCGTGTCCAGCCGTGTGTGACTTGGAGGGTGTGCGCTAATCCCTAGGCTTAGCCTGAAAGGCAGTTTTGCTTTTGGGTTTTGTGTAGAAAAACAGATGGTGGTGATGGGATGCCACGCAGGACAGCACAGGCCAGTGGCCAGAGGGCTATCCAAGTGCCCTGGGGTTTGTGGGAGCATCTTCCTGTCGGCCCACGTCCACGGGGAACTCCCTTCCTGATTGGATTCCTATGTGGTTTTGGGAGTCGCCCTTCCTGGGCCTCGCTCACTTTTCCTGCTGGCTGGATCACATTTTGTTGTCACGGCGAAACCCCTGTGACTTTCCCAGCAGCCGTGGGCTTAGTGGGTAGAGCACTGGCTTGGCAGTTGGAAAGGTCCAGGTGCCCGTGCCAGCCGTGTGCCCTGGCTGGACCCATCTGGGCCTTGGGCTTCTCATCTGTAAAGAGGGGGTGATACTGGCCTCTGGGGGGCTGCTGGGCGAAGTGAGGGCGCAGACGTTGGCTCCCACCTGTGTGCTTTGCTGACACGGGGCTGAGGCTGCAGCCCCGGGCCCCTCGGGGACACGCGCAGAGCAGCTTCACACCCGGCGCCCGGGTCTGTCTGACTTGGAGCACTGCCCGGCGCTGCGCCGTGACGGTCAGGGGTTACAGGTGGCCCGTTTCGGAGGGACGGGTGAGGAGCTCCAAGTTCTCTCGGCACTTCTCCTCCCCATGTACTGGGGGGAAGGTCACTACTGATTTTTAGCCGAATACTTTATTTTATTAAAAGTATGTGTTTCTTGAGCACCTGCCATGTGCTAGGCCCTAAGAGCCTCCCACAAGAGATGAGCCGGTCTGAGTCCCCGCCCTCGGGGGGGGGGGGGGCTTCTGTGGGACTGGGGCAGATTGGAAAACACAGAGGGAACAAGCGCCCTCCGTCTCTTCCCTCGGCTGGTAGCAGCCTCCCTGGTTTGAGCTCGGGGCCAGAGAGGCCGCTGTCTGAGGTAACGTGTCGTAGAAGGCAGCAAGAGCGGCGGGCAGGGACAGAGTGACAGGCGTGTCCCTGCCGGCACGGTCAGGCCCACTCACGCTGCGGCGGGGAAGGTCGGGGTAAAACCGCATGCAGCTGTGTAGAGATGGAGGCCGCAGGGCACAGCGGGGAGGTGCCTCTGGGCCCGAGCTGGAATCCACTGCTGCCCCTCTGTCCCCTCGCACACACTGGGGCTCGCAGGCAGGCTGCCGGCCCCGCCTGCCCCCAGGAGGCTGCGCTTCCCCGCTGTGCAGAAGCAGCACGCGGGAGACCACGGCGGCGGCACAGAGGCTGCTGGGAGCTCCCGGGAGGCTGGCCTTCCGAAACGCAGCTCCTCGTTCTCAACATGGAACCACACCGTAGACGGTGTCCTTTAGAGTTGTGGACAGCTTTCTCTTTTATTTATTTATTTTAGAGAGAAAGAGGTAGGCAGACAGCAGTTTGTTGTTCCACTTATTTATGGGTTCATTGGTTGGTTCTTATATGTGCCCTGACCGGGGCTCAAACCCACAACCTTGGTGTGTCGGAACGATGTTCTAACCAACTGAGCTACCTGGCTGGGTCCACTGTCTGTCGTAAGGGTGGTGACGCTGCCCTCTGGTGTTAGTTAATAGCTGCCTTGAGCTGGGTGCTGGTGCAGAGAGGATGGTGCACACAGGCAGCCTCGCAAGTGCTGGGCCAGCAGGGGCAGTGGGGCAGGTTCAGACTCGTGCTTTGGGGCCAGGGGGCCCGGGCTGGGCTTGGAAGCGTGTATGTGTCTTTGGGCAAGTCACTGATTTGTCTCTGCCTCAATTTTGCAGTCTGTAAAATGGGGGTGCTGAAGGCACCCACATCCTAGCATGTGTGGGGGTTAAGGAAATGCGATCATGCGCAGCGGCGTGGGTGTTGGGACGGGTGCTGGCCGGGAGCCCTGTCCCTGCTGTGGAGACGCACCTGTTCCCGCAGGCTGCGTTTCTCAGCGTCACTGTCATTACCCAGTTGATGGCAGAAACTGCTCTAGAAAAATGAAGTCGCTAAATATAATGCTGTTACAGAAATCTTCAGCTGCTTGGTGAAGAAAAATGTCTGTGAAAGCTGCCAGTGCTGTGCGAGTTTGTTGTCAGCCTGCATTAAATCAAGTAGCTTTAACAAGCCAGTGGTTTAAGCTCTCGGGCTCCCTGCTAAAGTCTTAGCCCAGACACTGTCAGTAGAGGAGAATGCCGGCTTTAGCCCGAAGAATGCGAAGGCAAATGGGTTTATTTTCTAGGCGGGGCGTCTGGAATTGCTCTTCGGTGTGTCGGGCGGCAGCACCGTGGTCTCCCTCCTCTGTGCTGCAGGTGCAGAGCGCAGGGGCGTCGGACCGCGGGGCCTGGCTGGCCGGGATCCGCTCCAGGTGCCTTCCGTGCCGCTGCGCATCTCTGCGGGCACAGAGGTGACTGCAGGGACAGGGCATCAAATAGGGGTGTTTAGTGGGTGTTCGGAGGGGGCACTTTCTGTAAACTAAGGGATTTAGACAGAGAGGAGGGGTCTGATCCCCACAGTGAGGTGCTACCTGGGAGGAGAGAGGCTGGCAGTCTCTGTGGAGGATGGAGGACGAGGGCACCCGGCCAAGCCGCAGCCCTGCCTGTCAGTGCCATGGGTTCCGAGAAGGGGCTGGCGTCACAGGAAGGGCACAGGGGTGGCTAGGGCTGGTCTTCGCCTTCCAGAGCAGGGAGACGGTGGCATTCCGGGCAAAGTCTGGAGGCTGGGACGAACATGGTGTTGCAGAGGCCTGAGGACCTTGGCCTCGTAGGAGCCAAGGGCCTGTTTTAGAGGTGAGAAGTCCTGCAGGATTGGATAAGTTGGGGCCAAATGGATAACACATCCCAAGTGCTGGCTCCTTCAGCAACTTGGAGCCTGACATTCTGCCCGTAGGCTTTCTGGGGGGGGGGGGGGGGGGGGTCAGTTGCTTCTGACAAGTCTTCTGGCCCCTCTGGGAGCCTATGGGCCCACCCACGGTGTCCTCTGCTTCCAGGCCCTGCTTCTGGGTCCTCTCCCTGCTCTGCGTCACCTTCAAAGTAAAACCACATTCTTCAGCATGACTAAGACGTGAGCATGCGTTGGGAGCCGCAGGGCGGCCTCGCCCTTCCTGAGGACCTCTGTCCTGGCCTGCAGTCAAGGAGCCTGCGTTGGGAGCCTGGCCCCCAGCCCCAGCTCCCATCCACAGAGAGCTGCCTCCCCGCCTGGGAGGGTGGGCACTTGGAGGGTGTTCTTTCCTATCCAACCTGCACTTTTCCTCGGGGAGCTCCCCCGGGGCAGCCTTCCCAAGCGCCCGCACCACCTGTTGCTCTGGGCTGTGAACTCCCTGGGGACAGGATGGGATTCTCACCGGGGTCTCTGGGACTCACAACAGTGCCTGACACTAGAGTGATCAGGGACAGGGTGAGGTGTGATGCTTGGTGGCACTGTGCCCTGCTCAGAAGCAGCTTATAAATGACTGTTTGCAGTTAAAATGTGCACACAAATAACCACAACACCGGGCAGAGATCACTGTGAGGAGGGGTGTGTGTGTGTGTGTGTGTGTGTGTGTGTGTGTGTGTGTGTGTTTAACCTGAGGATTTTTTTTAAATTGATTTTTGAGAGAGAAACAAAGATGTGAAAGAGAAACATCGATCAGCTGCCTCCTATAAGTGCCCACTGGGGTTACCCACAAACCAGGTATGTGCCTTGACCGGGAATCAATCTGCAGCCCTTCGGTACCTCCGACCCCTGAACCACCCCGCCAGGGCTTTGGTAAACATGTACAGCACACCTACTCTGTGCCAGGCCTCGTTCCAGGCCTTGGGGACATGGCCAGGGTAAGGCAGACAAAACCACTTTTAAATGGCCCAGAGCGTTTATGTCAGATGCTGGGAGGATGCAGAAGCGGCCTCTCCCCGCGGTGGGCTGCCTTCCAGAGCTGTCAGGGGCGGCTCTGGGAGCCCGGCGATGCTGTTGCATCCCGCCTGTGGGTGCATGCACCCTGATAAGTAATTGGGCAGAATGCGTGCAAGCCGTACACTTGCAGCCTGGGGCCTTTTCTGCAGGAATGTTAGCCTGCAACAGAAAGTCTAGAGGTGAGGACCAGCGTTAGCAGCCAGCATTCACCGCACACTCGCTCTGTGCCCAAGCCCTGCTTGCGGAGGCTTGACGTTGCCCAGCTTCAGTGGGTGGTGGAGCAGAAGGTGGGCCAGGGCACCTGCTCCCCAGAACTGTCCCCTGCCCCTGCCCCCAGCCTCCCGGGAGCTCTGCAGGGAGAGGAGCGTGCCTCTGCAACGCCTGGGCGCAGACCCCGGTGCCACCATGGTGTGCGACAGCGAGGGCTGCAGGCGGGCCCCGTGCAGTGCTCATGAGCAAGTCACAGTCTGTCACGGGGCCTTTATCAATGTCCGAGTGACAGCCCTAAGGAACTCAGCTCTGATACAGCTTTGGTTAAACACATCCTTCCTGTACATCGTTACTCTGTGTTGTGCCTGTGGGGTTAGGCCTGAGGGTTGGAGTTTCTGGGGTTCGTTTGCTTCCATTTTTTAGTTTGTCTTTTTGAACATGTGATTAAATATTGATAATGCAATTTGGTCTTTAAAGTGGTTGAAGTTTGGGGTTTATGCTTTAAAACTGTCAAACAGCACAGGGTGCCTTGCAGGGCAGTGGCCTCATTTTTCTCACCCTCCTGCTGGGTGGGTACAGATCCCAGGACAGAGGGTGGGGCACGCAGTTCAGTGATGGGGGCGAGGACAGAAACCAGGAGCTGGGCCTGGAGTGAGGCCCAATGCAGGACAGGAACTAGAGCC